CATCAATTTAGGAAAAAAAATTCAACAGTTGATCTTCATTTGCAAGTATGCTCCCGAACGTCATCAAAACCAATTTGCAAAGAAAATAAACAAGGCAAACATTAATAAATTTTCAATTACATCTAAACTCATATAAATAATTTTATTTTATAAACCAATTTGGTTGAAATGCATATAACAATTAAAAACTTCAAAGAGTTGAGGTGATCCTTGATGATAAAGCAACACGGAAATAGAGACTTAGTTGATGAGACGTATTACAAGCAGCTGGTGGGTAGTTTAATGTATCTCACTACCACGAGACGGGACATGATGTTTGTAATAGAGAACAAATAAAAAAGAAAAACATGGTAGTATTTTGCACATATACAAATATACAAGTGTCCTTTATGTTTCACAAAGTGATTTTGAACCCCAATGTAATTTAGCATAGTTGCCTCGGATCCTATAAAATCACTGCAATGCCCAATATGACTCAACAAATATGCACTTGAATACCACTCCTATAAATGATAGAAAACTGCAAGGTAATTGAATTTGTACTCGTAGACCTTGAAATTGCTCCAATACTGCCTATAATTTGACAAAGTACATTAAGCACTATAGCCACAACTGATTCAAAATGTGCTACAGACTCCGTCTGTTTTTAAAGTCAAAATTGAAAGCATTGTGCATGAGGGGATGTATTAGAAGCAAACATACCATAATATGAAAACATCCAGGGTCAGGGTCTTTCAACTTCTTCGAAGATTGTAAGATAAATCCTTTTGAATTGATTTACAAATTTTTATGAAAATAACTAATGATCTGAAAACTTTAGATTACTTCCGTAATGATAATATAAGCTATGTTTTTGTCAAAATAAAATACTTTTTCCACTATAATCTATTCTCACACTTCCTCGAATCACAAAATTCTTAAAAATATCTTTCAATATACAAACGTAAGTTAATAAATCTAAAGCCTGCCACAATGCAAAGACAAGGGCTAATCCAATCCCAACACAAAATGAATCACAAGGGGTCATAGATGAATTCTCTAAGATATCTAGTTGCTAATAATATCTGAGTATGCATCTGAGAAAAGTAAACAAACAATAAAATTTGTAAATGTAACAGTATTCTCTTTTCTTTACTTTTTCCAGGTCAAAAATTTTCAGTTGAAGCAAATGGTGTAGTTAAGAATGCCTCAGCAAAGTTTGGTCCAATATCATTGGCTGGTGGGGTGTATCTTGAGTGCAGCTGGGATCACTGACTGGTCTGTTTCAGTGGTGGTCTGGATTTAGATGTAAAAACAGACTGAAGGTACTCTGGAAAATACTACCTCTGGCTGTGTTTTGGTCTTTATGGAAGCAAAGAAATGAAATCACTTTTGGGGACTCACATGTGGATCTTGAAAAGCTATGTGAACTTATTAAAACACGGATCGCATTGTGGTTCAGAGCGTATAGTCCTTCTTTCTGCTATTCCGTGAATGATTTGGTGTTAAATTTGCAAAGTGTCAAGTTCTGCATTATGCATTGAGGGCGAATGCTGACTGGCTGATTTCTGGGATTTTTCCTCGTTTTGAAATTCTGAATTCTGTGATGCTTATAATTTCTGCAGTTTGACTCTTGCCGGAATTCTGCAGTCTAATTCTGTGTCTAGGCTGGACTGTGCAGAGGAGGAAGACTCAAAATTATTTAATAGACACAATGGGTCACAATGGGTCTGCTGCTGTTAGCTGGGGGCTGTAGTTCTAATTGAGTAATTAGGTGCATGGCTGATGAGTGGGTTGAAGCATTGGGTTCATATTTGAAGCATCTTAACAGCTGCAAAAGGCAAGGTGTTTGGTATGCTTTGTTTGAGCTGTTGGAATTCACGGCAATATAGCTCAGAAAATCTGCGCCATTTTCAGTACTGTGTTTTGTCCGTTCTGGTTTTGGTGATTCAGTGCCTAAGCTAACTGGTTTTTCTGGTTTTTTTTTTTCTTTCTCTGTTGTGTTCGCTCGTTGGTTTCTCACCAACTTGGAGGTTGGAGCTTGTTTTAGCTCCAAGCTCCACTTTATTGATGTAATTTTCCTTTTCCATCAATAAAGTTTTCCTTTTGCCGATCAAAAAAAAAAAAAAAAAAGAATGCCTCAGCAAAGGCCAGCAAACATAAATCTAGGAATTAAGACTTTTGGGTTGTACCATTAAAGCCCCTGAATGCCTTCTTATTTATGCCAATTTGCATCCATGTATAAAGTAAAACAAACCCCTCAGTCCTAGTCATTACAACAAAGTTGACAATGATGGATGCATTTCAACTAAATCATATATGAAATTTGGAAAACAAACCTCATGTTAACAATGTATGCATTTTCAACAAAAAGTTGGGATTAGAGAACCCCAAAGAAAGGATTCCTTTTCTTAACATCAACGAGGGAAGAGCAAAGAGCATCAAGTGAGAAACCAATCCTACAAGAGGAACCAAAAAAGACAGGAAAAGAAAAATAAAACAGAACAACAAACAAACAGAGCATACACCACCAGCAGCATGCACAGGCCCTCCACTCATCAGGTTTAACAACATACAGTAAATGAACCAGTAGCTGCACAAGAAGCAGCTGCATTTCAGTTGAAGCAAATGGTGTAGTTAAGAATGCCTCAGCAAAGGCCAGCAAACATAAATCTAGGAATTAAGACTTTTGGGTTGTACCATTAAAGCCCCTGAATGCCTTCTTATTTATGCCAATTTGCATCCATGTATAAAGTAAAACAAATCCCTCAGTCCTAGTCATTACAAAAAAGTTGACAATGATGGGTGCATAACTAAAACTTATATGAAATTTGAAAAACAAACCTCATGTTTACAATGTATGCATTTTCAACAAAAAGTTGGGATTAGAGAACCCCAAAGAAAGGATTACTTTTCTTAACATCAACAAGGGAAGAGCAAAGAGCATCAAGTGAGAAACCAATCCTACAAGAGGAACCAAAAAAGACAGGAAAAGAAAAATAAAACAGAACAACAAACAAACAGAGCATACACCACCAGCAGCATGCACAGGCCCTCCACTCATCAGGTTTAACAACATATAGTAAATGAGCCAGTAGCTGCACAAGAAGCAGCTGCACCAGCAGACTCCAGCAGGTTTAACATACAACAGTAACTCCACAAAACCAGTAGCAACACCAGCAGCGCAAAAACCAGTAGCAACACACACCAGCAGACTCCAGCAGCACCAAAGAAAGGATTACTTATCGCATTATTCAACTCAGTCCCAGCTGAGTTCAATTTCTGTTTTGCTTCTCAATCTTAATTTATGAGCCGGAAATCTTTACTAACCCAATCTAGTGTAAAATACAAACAAATTGGCAAGTTTTATTCCTAGATTTATGTTTGCTGAGGCATTCTTAACTACACCATTTGCTTCAACTGAAATTTTTTGACCCGGAAAAAGTAAAGCAAAGAACTTAGTCAAGCAGAGCTGGGTTGATTGGGATTGACAGCAAACACTAGTCTATGTGTTTACAAGCTTAATCCTGTTCCAGTCCCCACTCATTACCATCTCATTTACCTAAAAAACTAGCACTAGAAGATGGTTTTTTTGTAATGAAAACTTTCTGGTCACCAAGATGGAAGCAATAGGAAGCAACACCAAAACTTTCTATTCCAGGTTTCAAAATAAGCAGACGGAAATGGAGACTTAGTTGATGAGACGTATTACAAGCAGCTGGTGGGTAGTTTAATGTATCTCACTGCCACGAGACCGAACATGATGTTTGTTACTTGTCTCATAAGTACATATATGGCAAAACCAAGGGAAATTCATCTACAGGCAGCTAAGAGAGCAGTTTGATACTTAAAAGGGACTGTGAACTATGGAATTCATTATAAGAAAGGAGGAGATGCTGAGTTGTTGGTGTTTACGGATAACGACTGTGTCGGAGATATTGAAGACAGAAAGAGTACATCTGGTTACGTGTTTTTAATGAGTTCAAGAGCTGTTTCATGGTGTTCAAAAAAGTAATACAATCCAAAAGAATAATTAAAGCAAATAAAAAATAACAGCAATCATAAAGTGATATACAAACCTAACCAACCTACTGCCTGAGATTCAATAAATGTTCATTTATTTCTACTACTGTGAAAAACTCAATCAGAGAGACACCCATTATTAATCACATCACTAACTTAGAGCAACTCCCAACACTGCCTAGCAAAAATACACAAAAATGTAAACACATAGTTTTGTCTCTACTTTGGTTAGTGTGTATTTTAACTAGGGTGATGCTAAGTAAGAATTTTCATAATGAATCTATTTTCATTAAATACATCTTCAAACTTGTTAAATCTTAGTTAATAAGTAGTCAAACTGCTGTACTTTAACTAGTATATACTAACGAACATGATGAAAGCTTAAATGATAAAACGGGCGAGACTTACCAAAAAGGCGACGTAGGAGTTCATGGGATACCTCATCCTCTAAATTGTCCTTTGAAACCTTGCTTCTTAAGAAACTCCATGATGCTTGATGTGATTTCAAAATGCTCGCCAATTGACCCATTTATCTTCCCTATCTCTTTATTTTGTGCTTGAATTTCCTCTTTTTGTACTTGAATTTCATGTTTTTGTGCTGTAATTTCCTCTTTATGTGACTGAATTTCCTCTTTTTGTGACTGAATTTCCTCCTTTTGCTCTTGTATTTCCATCTCTGGACGCCTCACATAGTCACTATCAGTCGAAGCACTGGTAGTCCTGACAGAGAAGGAACGCCTCAACCCGAGTCCTTTAACATATCCCGACCTTGGCTTCAGCACCTTCACAGATAGCTCCTCCGGAGTAATTGGAACCGCACCAGGTTCGAAGCAATGTTCAGCTTGGATCTTTATCATATTATCCTGTCATTTAAAAAAAAAAATAAATAGAAAAATGAATAAAGATAAAATTATAATTGCAATCATCCTAATATAAAAGGTAAATATACATACATAATTCTTTTCGCACTCCGGAGAAATCCACTGCTTTGTCACATCATTAAAGTGTGTAGATTTGTAAACACATGGCAACTCTGGCAGTTGGCCCCCATTTGCAATTGTCTGATTTTTTTTGTTCAACTAGTAAGTTAAATAAGAACGACAGCAGTAGAATCATCTTTAAAAAAAAAATGAAAAAAAAAATTAAAGAAGACCTACCGCCTCGTGTACCCTAACTGGGAGAGATTTTGACCCACACCTATGCTTTGTCTTCAATTGATTTCTATTGTCAATGTTAGAATTTGATTGCTTCTACAAGGAGCAAGTTCCAATAGAAAAATATATATATTAGGAAGACAAGGTAATTGTCAACAATAAATAAACATAAGAAAAGTTTACCAGCCAATTGGCATCATTCCACTTCTTGTCAATCAAGTTTTTCCATTTCTCGAGGTCACATTCAGGCGGTGGGTGGCTTCTAGCATACTCCTCTCCCTTAGCACTTTTAAGGTTCAAGTATTTTATTCGTAGTTGGTAGGTGTGGGTGCTCAAGCTCTATCCACACTTTGTTGCCACCGCTTTGCGGGAAGAGAAAGACTGACCCTTTTTTTTCTGAGAGCAGAGTGACCACACCAAAGATGAAGAACATGAGAAGCATTCCAGAGTGCTCAAAATCGTTCATGTGAGATGGGTTCAAGACACCGTTGACAAAGAACTTGAGGTGCGTAGAATTCAAAAGTTCTATGTACATATCAATAAAAGCACCAATTGCTATAATGTGAGAACGAAGGGGAGAGAGAGAGAGGAAACTGAGTATTGGGTAGTTTTTTTTGAGCAACCAAGTATTGGGTAGTTGATTGAGGGAGAAACTGGAAAACGTGGGATGTGATTTTTTTTTTTTCGG